GGTTCGGTGGAACCCAGTAGATCTAGGTTCCAAGCAACAGAGGAAGAAGAGGAAGAAAGAAGAACAAAAAAAGAAAGGAAGAAGATGAGTCAGAACTTTTTTATTTTTTATTAAAAATATAAAATCCTAAACAAATTTAATTTATGAGTTAACGTAACACGTCATCAAAAAAAATTCCAAATCAGCACTTTTTAATGTTATTTTTGCCATGTCATAAAAAATGCCACATGACAAATAACAATCTAAATTGACAGAAAGACTAACTAACGGTATGCATTTCTTAGAGTTGAAGGACCACATTTAACCTTTAATTTTCTAAATCAAAATTAATATATAATATTTTTATATTAAATAATAATTATTTTATCAATTATTAATTTTTTAATAATTAAATTTAAAAAATTTCACATTTTCTGTGAACTTAAGAAATTTGAGGTGCCCATAACCTTAGCCGCCACACAATTATGTATCGAGTAATAGTATGCACAGCCATCACCAAGAAATGTCCTACCATTAAAAATAGTAAATAGAATTAGATAGTTGCCCTTGCACAACCCTTCTCAATTCTTAATCTTTTGATCCTCAATCTCCTCCCCCAATGGTGGCTAAAAAATCCTTTAATGGAAAAAATCTAAATTCTACTTAAATTATAATTGACCGATGGGGTTATATTGCTTTTGGGCGAAGAAAGAATTTTCTTTAGATAAAAAATTTAATAGGTGACCAAATAATTTTGTAGGTGACTCGAAATGTGTCCCTGTTCTCTAAGGATTTTTAAGACTATTAAAATTACGAGTTCAATAATATCCCTAAAAGAAGAATAGTAGATTTTGTTGATTTTTAGAGCATGTCTTCAAGGGAATCTTCTTTTCATCTTTTCTTTAAATCTTTCTTTATATCTATACTTACGTATATTTTGTATAATTCGCAGTCATTACCCGACAAAACCTACTTTGACTTTTTCACCTTACCAAGTTTCAAGATTTTAATTGTTTACTTTCTATTATAACATTTTTAATCTCACTTTATTAAATTTGTAGTTTTAACTTTTTACATATTTAAATAGAAAACGATCACCTTCATTTTATACTCTGAAGATTAAAATCCTGTTAGCTAAAAATAAATTTTTATTCATTAATAGTCAATTAATAATCAATAAAAAAAATAACAATATTATAAAATTATAATTAATAGATTTTTTAATTTCTTAATATCTCAAAAATATATGTTATAATTAATATTTTTAATATTTATTTTCATTATATTTAATATAATTTTAAGACTATAAACACAAAAATATCAAAAGCTCTAAAATGCATATCCAACCTAAGATGCTACCTTTGGTAGTGTCAAAATCTCGTCCACACCCAGTCAAAATGCCAAATGTAGTATAAACCCGACCAACATATTTTTTTTTTTCAATTTTTTTTTACAATTTTACT